ACAAGTTAATTATATGTTTGTATGAATACTTTACCGGAAAAACTTGAAACAACCCGAAAACCCAAAAAAATCCGAAAAAACCCGAGGTTGAAAAACCTGAGCTTTATTGGTTTGGTTTATAAATTTAAAAATCCGACACAAATGGTTTGGTTTTGATATTTGAAAAATCCGAACCAACCCGACCATGTACACCCCTACAGTAATATCTATGGACTATAACCTTTATTGGACCATTCAAAATTCTAAGTTTCAAAAAACTTGAAAAAATATGTTAAAAGATAAAAATTATGAAAACGTATAAGTAATATTTAGAAATTACATCAAAGTAAATATTTTTATGTATAGAATAAATTTTAAAATTTATATATATAATGTCGGGTTGGTTTGGTCTCGGGTTGACTTTCTTTTAGTTAAAATCAAACCAACCCAAGTATAGTCGGATTTTTTTTCCAATACCAAACCAAGTCAAACCAAACCATTAGTCAAATTATTTTTTTGTTCGACTCAATTTGCGATTTGGTTCAATTTTTGGTTACACCCCTACTAAGTCTCCTTGATTAAGTCTAAATTGACAATCAATTTTATTATTACTCGAAGGTCTGTTCTTAATCGCACTACTCTAAAATCCAATAATCAAAAGAAAGAATTTTTATTTAGAAGAGGACATAAAGGATGCAAATTTTTAGTTAAATATATGACCCAAATTGATGTTGGTGCAAATAAAAGGAACCTTTAGGTCTTTACCGGCACCTAGAGCCGTCAAAACGGGCTTAGCCCATGAGGCAGGCCCAACCCAACATGTTATTGGGGTAGGGTTGGGATAGGATTTTTCAAGCCAGTTTAACACTAGGGCTTATAAGCCCTTGGCCCTTGAGGCTTGATCGGGTCGGGGCCGGGGTTGACCCATGGGCCAAAACTTTTTATCTAAGGTTAACTTACAATAATCTCACTAGTATAAAATCTAATTACTTAAATACACGCTATGTTGTAATATTATGAATCTTACCAAATTTTGGTACGTCCAGATACATGTATCTCGGAATATATGGACTCAATATTAAGTTAATATGTTCTAGATACACTCTATCCAAGTAGATTCGCATGTATCTAGGATGCATAGACAAATCTCGTGCCCTCGCCTCCCTCCAATCTTGCTTGTCACTCTCTTATATGGCTCGCATATCTGGTATGCAAGATACATGCTAATTAGACTAGACTTTTTGCTAGTGTTATTAAAACAACACCATTGTTTGTCATATTTGATTTGAAAATCTTCTCATTTTCTTGATGTTATAGAACTATAAGTTTGAAAGAAAAAAAAAGGGCTAGCCCGCCCCACCCCTCGGCCCTTCTAGGATTGGGTTGGGTTGAGCATTTTCAGGCCCTTACGAATGAAGGGCCAACCTGCCCCAGCCCTTTAAATTCCTTGGCCCACGAGGCTTGGGCCGGGTGGGGCTGAGCGCCTGAGCCGACCCTTTTTGACAGCTCTACCGGCACCTAAAGTTTATACCCATGAATGCGAAATATGCACGCCTTCTGTCGCAATTTATATATATCATACACTTTTTGTTTTAATTCGTCTTAAAAGAATGTGTTTGTTTTTTTATAATTGAAAATAATTTAATTTTAGAACTTTCATTTTACCAAGTTTCAAAAAAAGAAAAAACAAATTTAGAACTTTCATTTTATTCTTAATGAAATGATTTATAGGCAGACAATGATAAAAGAGTATTTTAGACCACAAATATCCTCTTTTCTTTAATTATTTTCTTGTGTTCAGTACGTAAACAAATTTATAATCTTAAAAACATTTATATATCATCTAGACAAATACTATACGAGTGGGTAGGATAAGGGTGAAAATAAGGTGTATTGAAGAATGGAAAGGATACAATTACTGTGGAATGTCAGGTGTTTAACTCGTTTTTTCTACTTTCACTAGAAAAGTCATTTTCAAAAAACTTGTTTTACTAAAAATATCCAAAAATTCTAACTAATCGAACATGAAAAAATAAAAAATATTCTCCTCCGTATCAAAAAAGCCCGAGATCATAAATCATTTTACCAATCTATAATTATGCTCAAAATATAATTTGGAACACAAAATAAAGGGATGGATATGATAATAAGTTGACCAATTCTTGCTGAAAGTGACTCTTTTCTGTCTGTTCACTCTTATCCATAAGTAGTTAGTGGCTTACAAAAGATATCAACTTTCACATTAATTTACACATGGATGAACTTCTTGGTAGAATATATAAGAATAGTATTGAATATATAATGTAAAAGTAATACTAATAATATTTTTTATCGACAATTTAATTTGTTGTATATAATGAATAAGGTATATTAAAATAGAAATAGTACTCCGTATTACTAATACCATGAGTTACTATTGATAAGAATAGTACTAAATAAGATTTATAACTAATATCACACGTACATTTGCAACCAAACATTATACTAAAATTTAATATCCGTAATATTCTTATTATCTTATACACCCTATCAAACGATCCTGATTATTTTTAAAAACAAGTAGACATATTGACCCATTTTGTGAATCTTGTCCTTCACTTGTATGGTTAAGATCTAGTCATGTCTAACTAAATATAAACCAAGATTCTAATAATAATATTATCCTCTTTATTACTATATGTTAAATTGATTATTTTAGTTATGGGACAAATTTTTGGTTGTATTCAAGTGGATCAATCCACAGTTGCTATTAAGGAAAATTTTGGCAAGTATGATGATGTTCTTGGTCCTGGTTTTCACTTCATGCCTTGGTGTTTTGGAAGCCAATTAGCTGGTTATCTTTCACTTAGAGTCCAACAACTTGACATTACATGTGAATCCAAGACTAAGGTTTTCATATTTGTATTTTCTTTTTCTTTTTCTTTATCATCTTACTCAAAAGGCTAGCTTAGCTTGCCTTTTGGTTCGAGGGATTAGGTGAGTTATTTCGATTTAAATTTTTGGATAAAGTTGATGTCATGTTTGATTGAAGGTATTAGATAAAATCGGTATTAAAATCAAGACTATAATTTGGATAGCTTGTCTCATATAGGAAGTGGAATAAGTTATTCAGGTTATAGTCTTGATTTTGGTAGCTATGTTATTGTCAAGGGGTGTGACACTCTTCGTCGGAAAATAATACCGTATATATGAGTAAAATGATACACGAACGAAGTAATTAAATAACATATTCTGGACATCCTTGACACAACAAGGTGTTGCAGCCTAGTGGTTTCAGACGCCTTGAAAGAACTAACACCCAAAGTGCTCATGTGTTTGAATAAAGGTTGAGGGACTTATGACTTAGATCAGGGCAAAGCAAACTAAGCCTCGTATTTAAGTGGATAAGGGTAAAAGAGCAGGCATATTATCCCGAGTTTTGAAAAGATGTGGTTGATCCTAAGAGTTGGCACCACACTGATTTCTTGATTATTTAAAAAAGAAGTTGAAATGACTAGGGTAACAACATATCCAGTGAAATCCCACAAGTGAAGTCTGGGGAGGACAGAGTGTATGCAGATCTTACCCTACCTCATGAGGGTAGAGAGGATGTTTCTGAAATAGATGGAAGTTTTAAAGAATGTATCTTTTTGTACCAAATAATGTGCAATCAGTACTCTTTGGTAGTCTCAACATTTAACTATTTTGTAAAGTAAATGTTTTTAGTTGTTTCTCATGAAAGCTATAATTTTCAGGATAATGTTTTTGTGACTTTGGTTGCTTCAATCCAATACAGAGCCTTGGCAGACAAGGCAGCTGATGCTTTCTATAAACTAAGCAACACAAAGGAGCAGATTCAAGCATATGTCTTTGATGGTTAGAATGCAATTCTTATGCTTATACATCATACTTGTTATGACCTTCTATAACAGTTTTTTTATCGAAATGTATTGCAAAACGATCTAAAAAGCAATTGATATTGATACAGTTTACATCCTTAACTTAATTAGTAGGATGTTTTGAGTCCACTTCTTCCCTACACTACGAGTGAAAAGAAAAAAGTAAGGGAAAAAACTCAAATATGTTATTAAACTTTGAGAAAAATTTCATTTATGTCATTTATTAATAGTTGGACTCAATCATGCAACTGCCGTTACAGAAAGGGCATATTCATGCCATTATTTTTCTAATGCAGCCCAAGCAAGCCTTACTAAACCCACTCCTGGTGTTTACACCAGCCTAATGAATATATGACACATGTATTAACATGCACATCAATCACTAAACCGCGGTTAAAATTAACTAATACACATTCTCACCTTAATTTATGATTTAATCATGATAAATTAGTATTGATTTAGTATAAACAGTAGGTGTGAGTATATATAGAGAATGTCACTACTCACTAGTTAAAGAGATTTTGCTTTGCCTTCTGTCATATTTCTCATTGCTTTGAATGTCACTATTTTAAGTTCTCTTTTTTCAATCCAAAAGCTTCTGTGCTGAGTAGGTTCTTATTGATGTGTATTAGTTATTAGGGCAACTGTTCCAACATTGGAGCTGGATAAAGTTTTTGAACAGAAAACTGAGATAGCGAAAACAGTAGGGGAGCGACTCGAAAAGGTAACTCTCTCTTTATGTTAGTATAAGTACTACTGCAACTTTTAAGCAAAACAAACAGAAGAAACAAAATCAATTCATATCTGATTTTCCTTGTGGAATTACATAGGTTATGTCACTTTATGGATATGAGATAGTTCAGACTCTTATTGTAGATGTTGAACCAGATGATCAAGTGAAAAGTTCAATGAATGAGATTAATGCAGGTATGCCTGGCCATCTTTAATACTTCAACTGCTCAGTATTTTTTTTCTCCCCACTAAATGGAAGTATAGAGTTGTTGGTATTGCCTTTTACCAGAGACTTGTTGTCCAACTTCTTGTTTTTTGGACTAGAACCACTTTTTGGGTTTCAACATGTGATTACTAGTTTCGGTGCTTGGACCACATATTGGCATTGAAGGGGAGCATTGGAGCAACGGTAAAGTTATTGCCACCAGACCTATAAATCAGGGGTTTGAACCTTAAAATCAGCACCTGATGTTTGCATCATGGTAGCTAGGTTGGTTACATTGCATCTCCTTGGGATGCAGTCCGGAGAGTCCTTGATACCTATAGATCAAGGTTCAAGTCATAAAATCAATCATTGGTACTTGCATCAGTATAGATTGCCTACATTACATTTCAAGAGGGGTGTGGCCTTCCCCAACCCCGCATAAACGTGAAATGCTGTTGCATCTCCTTGGAATGCGGTCTAGGGAGTGAGTCTTTGTTACCTATAAACCACGAGTTCAAGTCGTGAAATCAACCATTGGTACTTGCATTAGTGTAAGTTGTCTACACTACATTACACGAAGGGTGTGGCCTTCTCCGACCCTGCATAAACGTGAAATTCTCCATGCAACAATTTTGCCCTCTTTATCACATCTTCTTGGCATTAAGCTCCACTAGTAAAGAGTCAACAGTTTTACAAAGTAAAATTAGTATTGGACCATGTGAACTATGTATTGAATTCTTGTTTGCATATTGATGGACCACATAAATCTTCATTCCTCTAATAACGTGAGTTGACAATTTCATGGAAACTAGCTTCAAGATTGAGAGAAGCTGCATTTGAGAGAGCAGAAGGAGAGAAGATTCTGCAGATAAAGCAAGCAGAAGGAGAAGCAGAATCAAAGTACTTAGCAGGGCTAGGAATTGCTCGTCAACGACAAGCTATCGTAGAAGGGCTCAAAGAAAGTGTGATTGGCTTCTCTACTAGTGTTCCAGGGGCATCAACCAAAGATGTCATGGACATGATTTTGATCACCCAATACTTTGATACAATGAAAGAGATAGGTGTCTCATCTAATTCATCTGCTGTTTTCATTCCTCATGAACTAGAGGATGTGACTTCTGAACAGAGATAAGAAACAGTTTGCTTCAAGGTAACATATTTAGGCTATGATGCTGAACATTATGGTTTAATTCTGTAAGGGAGAAAGAGATTTATGTATTGTGTTAGTGAAGGTAGGAGTCTAGGAGAGATCGATGCATGGTCCAAAGCATTCGAATTATACTTACTTTGTAATAGTGATTTCAAGTATGGAGGATAGATGAACTGATAAGAAAAGGGAATAAGAAAAGAAGAAAGGCCTAAAGCTCTCTTTCAAGAGATCCTTTTTTGTGCAACTCACCCCAACACATAAAAAATGATCAAAGAAATATTAATCAATTATGCGAATGATGAAGCCAGAAGCCCAGGCAAAAGGTTAAAAACCAGTCCCCTCAATCAACATTTAGGATGGGTATTAGCAAAAATCATGAGTTTGCATTACCAGCTGAAGGTTTTTCTCACCGGTGCAGTAGGATAATGCGCTGAAACAAATCTACCTAATTTATTACTCTGGATCATACAAAATGACATTGCTTCACTCACTTTTCTGTAAGGTAGTAACGAACTCATGGCTTGAGGGCTACAGCCAACCCGATCTTGGCGCTCTTTTCAATTGCCCTGGTGTCAACTTCACCAGATATTGTGAAGAGGGATTTTGGTCGCCACTCGTGTTGGATGAGAGCACTTGCCTTACCATAGCTGTTAACACGAGCCTTCACCGTGGTCAATGGGTCCAACAAATGCTGTGTCCCAATGGTGAGTGTGTTCTCATTGCTTGAGAAGCTGTGAGTCAACTCTGCACCAACAGCTGTGTTTGTCACTGGCTTCACGGTGTGGTAGTAGGAAGCACTGACGGTATCACCCTTGTCATTCCTGTATAAAATTAGTACTCAGTTCAAAAGGGTTCAAAGATAAGAAAACAACAAAGATGATGATGGAACATGTTTGTTCCAAAGTCGCAATTTCCTTAAAATTCTAGAACTTTGATGCAATTTTACAGCCATCATATCATTTCAATATAGCATCTTATCAGTAGAGGAGACGAATGATTCATTAGTTTAGCCAGGATGAAAAAATTCAAATGCCAAAAGTATTTCTTGCAGAAAGACAGAAAACCAGGACGTTGCAAGGTATCATTTGACGGTTAGAAAGAGAACAAATGGCTAAAAGACAGATTTTGTTCCATGAAGAATCTAACAAATACATTATGTCCAAGGTAGATATCACGTAAATACTTACAATGCTAAAGAAGCAATCAGATCAGACGAAGAAAAACTCAGACCAGCATTGCATTTTGTGAAATTTCCTGTGGCAGTGTCAAATGATAGATCAGTGCCCAAAGCAACGGTATTGTTTCCAGCAACGCCAGAGAAGTTGACAAGAGGACTTGCTGTAAGTCCAATGCTAGTGTTGATCCCAGCATACTCATGCAAGTACTGGAGCTCTACCTGTAACATAATACTTTTGCTTAGTATCACACAGTTCAGTAAACTACCAGCCAACTACAGAGAAATATAGTAAAAAGCAAAGGTACCTTTCCAGACTTCTGGTCTGGTACGACAAAGCTGAAAATTGTCTTGAGTCCTGGTGCAGGTTCATCAACAGTGATGGTAGTGTAAACCTGCATCATTCAATCCAAATTACTTAGCATATTCTTGTATTGCCCCAGCTCAGTTTGAAGAAAAGAACTTGAACTTGTGGATTTCCCAATCAGTAAGTCTCAAAAGTTGAAAATTCAAAACCGAAGACGGACAACTTCTTCTGAGAGTGCAGAGCAGAGGGCAGGGAAGATTAGAGAACAAGCTAGATAACTCAAATGTATTCTCCTCCCCAATCAACTATCCTTTGACTTTGATTGTACAACTCTTTTTTTTAACTATCACAAAACTCGTCTTGATTATCATGCTTGACAATTTCAGTTTTCGGTTACTATAAGTTTGCATTAGGAGGTATACATCAGGGGGAGGGAGGATTAGATTAAGGAAGCATGCACATCGCCATAATCAACACCAGGGTAAATGTTAAGCTAACACCTAATATGCCATTATGTGGATTAAAGCAAGTTTGCACGAGATCCAACAGCGAAATGGAGAAGAGGGCACAAATGGGAAACATAAAACTATAGTCGATATTGGTTAAGTGACTATCCAAACATTTCAATTACAGCCTTATAGTTGTTGGACAACATATTAATATCGCTAACTGCAAGTGTGAAAACAAATCATAGACACCAAGCTAAACTAACAAACACAATCTTTCAATAACAGAAAGGAAAAAGCTATCAACTCCATGGACTCGCAGAGCATTAAATCAGACCATAAGGAAGAAAATGACAACAAAGTAACCAAAGTGGGAATCCTTCATATTTACTATCGATTTTCTTGATTTTTGTGGGTTATATTTTCAGGGAAATGGATACTTGAAGGATTGAGAAAGTTTAATCAAAGTGTGGCCAGGTCAGTATAACTCACAAGTCAAAACTAAACATGTTGAGCACCTAGTATCTCCAAAGATGTATAATTTTAATATTGTATCTCCCAATAGAAGTTACTAAATATAGTACTAACAAATATGAGATCCCAGTAATGAAAAATGAACTCACATTGGAATTGGTGTCCACTTTTACATCAGTGGTAATGTTTTTGTTCTTCAGCTGGGTGCTAACATCCGCCAAGAATAATTCACCTTTCTTCAGACCAGATGCGGTAATAGCCTGAGATGTAAGACAAACTTTAGCAACATATACTCGAAGTCTTAATTGACCACAAAACAATTTCAATAACAAGATATCATTGTCAAACAATGTGAAGAATCCACTACATGCATCGTGAGGCAATACCGAGGAAGTCCCTCCCGAGAAACACACACTCTGCTGGAAGTTAGTAAAGTAACAAAATAACCAGAGGCAAATGTTGGTACCGGAATCATCTGAATCCGGTACTTTTCATAGCATAAATTTGTGTTAAAAGTTCCATTAAAATCACAACAAATAGTATATATGAACCATAATTTTAAAAATACAACAGATTCAATGCTAAAACCTTAAATATTGAACCCATAGATTTTAAAATCCTAGATTTGCCATTCCAGAAGATGAAAATAATTATTAGTCGCATGATACCAGCAAAATGTAAATAAGATGACATCTCATTCTTCATTTCTAAAGTAATTAGTTTCTTCCCTATATTCCTAGGAGCAGCATAAGACCAAGTTTATTAACCCCGCTCCACACACATACACCTTAACTTCTTCTAATTTCCAGTATTCTCATAAAATTTGTCACAATTTCATACTTGACGACATAAACCACAGCTCCCTCATCCCACACCCCAAAACACAATCACGAATGAACAATAAGCAAAAAGTTTGAATGATAATCATATACATATCCAGAAAGAAACTAACCACTCCCGTTGTGCTGTACGTAGTGACGGTGAACTTATGGTCACTGACATAGTCCCTGTACAGAAGATCTAAAAACAATAACAAAAAGATACAATATCCATCAATTACCACCACACATGAAGTTCATTTGATAATTTTTTTCATTAACATCAATCTTCCATGTTTGGTTTTGTACAAATAAAGTTTTATATGCTTCCTCCGTCCCAATTGATGTAGCACCTTTCATATTTCAAGGCTCAACTGTGAAATTTTCATATGCACTTCAAATTATCAATTTCAGTACTTTTTCCATAGTTTCCAAAAATGTAAATGTATTTCTAAAAACTTAAAAAGTTCCATGTCCGAATTAACAGTTAAATTTTTTTTTAAAAAGTTCCAACTCTCAAAATTCAAAAAGGTGCTACATAAATTAAGACAGAGGAACTACCAAACAGTAATGAAAAAAATAATTTCCTCCAGAAAAAAAAAATACACAGTTTCTGTAGTACCAAACTATATTGTTTAGACTCTTCAAAAATATCCACATGTGCTTATCGAATATTTCCAAAAAAAGTACATTTCTGGAGAATCCGAGCAACATATTTCCCTAGCACCAAACTATATTGCTCGGACTCTTCAAAAATATCAACAGCTGCACATGTTATATTCCAAAAAATAGTACAATTTTTTTGAGAATTCAACAAGGATGCAACAACATTTTTGGAGAATCAGCAACATTTTGAGAATTCAACAAGGATGCACCAAATTATATTACTCAAAACTCTTCAAAAATATCAACTAGTGCTTATCGAATATCTCAAAAATAGTACTACATTTTTCAAAAAATCCGATACACATACAACAACATTTTTGGAAACGGAACAAAACGAAAAAAAGTGAAAAATACCTCTAGCTTTTTTGCCGATATCGGAGTAAAGTCCAGGTCCCTTCACCATCTCTGCAACAGAAGGAAAAAAAAACTCGAACGAGAGAGAGAAGCTTCTAGAGAGAGAAAGTCTACTTACAGAGAGAGAAAGAATCGGTGTGTATCGAAAGACTTGGTTTGTTACCAAAAAAGAAAATTAGTGTAATAGGAATAACCCTAGACTATTTCGCTTAGTTCATTTTAGACCGTTTGATCTAATGATGGATGTGAAGAAAGAGATTCTGGACCGTTGATTATATCTAACGTGAGGGTACTTTAGTACTTTTATATTTTCTGTTTTATTGAATTTATTAAGTACTATTTATTTTGCGAGACCAACCTGGATCATTCACAGCCCTTCGACTCTACCTGGAGATACGTTGTCAATTTTGAAATTAAAAAAAAGTTTAATTTAATTTATTTGCTTAAATTCAAAATTAGACCGATTAAACTATGACTCATTTAACTCGAGTTAATCCATTATAAATAATATGAATTACTCTCGTTAGGTTCATTAGTAGTTGTCCATTATTGACTTGACACATAAATTAATATAATTACTACTTCCTATAATTTCAACTTCATATTAATGTAATTTCATATCAGATGTCCAACGGAATTAGGATATTTATGCCCGATTCAATTGTTAAAGAACAAAAGGCATGAAGTCAAGTCGTAAAAAAGGATCAACATGAATTGTGGTGGGATAATTAGAATTTCTACATTCTCATAACTAAAAGTCTTGAATTTGAGCTTTCGAATAATTATTACTACTTTCGTTCAATTTTATTTATTATGTTACGTTTTTCAAAAATCAATTTGACCAATTTTCAAAGTTAAATTAGATTACATTAATTCTTAGTTTAAGCAAATAATTTAGATATTCAAAAACTATACGAAAAGTACTATAAATTGCATTTTTTTACATTATCAAAATAAAGAAAAAATACATTCTAAAATGTTAGTCAAGGTTCTTATAATTTGACTCTAAAATAAGAAATTATGACAATTAAAAATGAACCCAGGAAGTATTTTTTTTTAAAACAAAGAATCATATCAAGAGCACTTTCCAAAAAAATCCTCAATACATAAATAGAAAATTTACTCCAACTTTAATATAAATATCGGTATAAAAATAATTTTTTTAAAAAACCATAGAAATGGAGATAGTTTTTTCTATTAGTTTGCTTTGTTGGCAAATAATCATACACAAACAAGCACGCACGTTTTCAGCATTTTCCTTTCTATGCTTTTTTTTAAAAAAAAAAACTTCAAATGTTTTTTTTTGTGGAAACCTCATATTTAAATAATACAAACTGTAATTGTAAATTAAAATTATAATAAACTATAACTCTTATTTCCTTTACATTTTCTTTCTTTCTAAAATCAACATAAGAATATGCTTTTATTCTCTTATTGGCTTACGGAGGAGAATATGCTGTCGCCCATTCCTCCAAGATGCTTTTTTCTTTTCCTGACTCGATGTTCGAAATGCACATTAGAGTTTAAGTGTTCGATTAAATTCGATTACGTATTGTAGAGCTATTTGGGGTGACGATCTAACATGATTTTCTCCATTTTTAGGGTTTGAATTTGTGATCTCTAATTAATGATGGAACAATCTCACCATTGCACAACAACTCATGTTGTTCTGTGGGATGCTTCTCACTTCTCATTGTGTTTCGTTTTTTTTTTCCAATGGAGTATTTTTTTTTTAATGCCATAAAGGGTAGTTTGGTACCATGGTTGGTTGGTTATCCTGATTCTCGATGAAATATTTTATGAGATTAATTATTTTATTTTTATATAGAATAGTCAATTCGTTCATTTTAACATAAAAATCATGTCAAAATTAGCTAATATATTAAATTAAAGATGAAGTAAAAGTAAACAAAAAAAATTTGTATTGACATTATATTGTTATGCTTATCTGATATATTAAACGACCCCTAAATATATAATGTATGAATGCCTCTGTTGGCTAAGTCAAATATTTTACGGAAGAATGGTATGTGAGACAAATATCTCTCTCTATATATATAAAGTTGGATATCAAATATGTTGATGTGGCGCTCTCTAAGTTCAAGAAATCTATTTATCTATTTTTCTCTTTTTTTTAACATTTCTTTTTATGTTTTTCCTATCAAATAAAATAACTATTTTACCATCTAATTGAAAGTAATTACCACATATTCATTGCTTAATTTAAAACGGTACATCATAAGTGTTATACCCCATTTTAACTGGGTCAAAATATTGTACAATATTTTGGTGATTTCCAAATTAATAACTAACTTAAGAAGTCGCCACCTAATTATTTACGGTGAATTAGGGCACCTAAAATCGTTAAAGTCTATTGTCTAAAGTTAACTCTATTTTAAGGTCTACTAAACATGAGATTCTAGGTAAGGGTTCAACTAATCTAAAAGGAAGAGGTTAGACATCCTTTAAAATCCATTAAAAATGGTTAACCGATCGAACTTAAATAATTAATTAGGCTAAGGTGTAAAGATGTAAAAAAAAAGTATAAATACCACGTACTAAATGACTTAAAATCAATGATCGAAAAGATGTTTTTATGAAAGTATTTTTGTTGGAAACACAACAAAAAAAAATTGAAAAGGTTTCATGAGCTTAAAACTTATTTTTATTGAAAAAGGGAGGTTAATCTGATTTTAAACAGATTAACACTCGTACTAAAGAAAGAAAAGTTGAAGTTACCGTTTATGGGGCAGTGAACTAAGACGTTGTCAATCTCGAAAAGACCATAAAGAGCACGCTGCAACTTGCACACATAGTTGGGATAATCTGGATGTTCAAAGCCCTTAGATTGACGCATATAAACAGTCTCGGATAACTCACCATGCAAGAATGCATTCGACACATCAAGTTGGTGCATATACCATTTTTTTTGAAGAGCCAAAGACAAAATCAAACGCATTGTGCTAGGCTTAACGACAGGAGCAAAAGTCTCAAAATAGTCCACCCCGGGCTGCTGCGAAAAACCTTGAGCCACTAAACGAGCTTTAAATCTTTCAATAGAACCATTTGCACAAAACTTGATCCGAAACACCCATTTGTTGCCAACAATATTTGCATTTGGAGGAGGCGGCACCAAGGTCCAAGTTTTGTTGTGGACAAGAGCATCAAATTCAGAACTCATTGCCTGCATCCAACGAGAGTCTTTACAAGCTTGAGAAAAGGAAGTAGGTTCGGATAAAATGGAACATGTAAGAAAAGGAAGTAGGTTCAGATAAAATGGAACATGTGGAAGCTGTTAAGGACATGAGGCTTGAGCGATCCTGTTTTAGAACGAGTGACCATATGATGAGTTTGAGGATTAACGATGGGTGATTGTGAGGGAGATAGTTGGAGATTATTAGATGGAGAAAGGGCCTGCGTGGAAGGGGCAGGAGATGAAATATCTCGTTCAAGAGGAACAGCAGAGGAGGGATCCAAAGTGGAGACTACAGGTAGTTGAATGGGAGTAACGCTAGCTACTAGTTGAAGAAAGAGAATTGACAGAGGTATTCCCCTGATGTAAAGGAGTTTGGAGACTTCTATTCGGAGGAGGAAGTTGCGAAATAGATGGAGTTTGAGTACTCCTAATTGAAATGTGATCCCGAGTAGGTAAAATCAGACTACTACTACTCCTTTTTGAAGTTCCTCCAAAGTGAGTGATATGAACGGGAGAGGTAAAAGACTTAGAATTATCAAATATAGTTGGCAATGAGGTAGAACTGGGTGAAGAAGTGTTGAGAATTGATTAAAAAAAAAAGTCTAAGTTACTAAGTTACTGATTATTTACTGTGAGTTTGAATAAGTCTTTTACTAGAGTTGAAAGAGTCTTTGTTAGGTTGTTATTTAGTTGCTTATTTTTCTGGCACTTTCCTAGTTTCTAGTCAAGTGAAAGTCATGGACAAATATTATCTTCCAGAGTCTGTAAGCCTATAAAGGCGGATATTTTCAATTAATAAAGTAAGCACTTCTACAAAGTATTTCCTTCATCTTCTTTGTGCAACTCTAAGTTTTGTAGTTAAAGAATCTTTGTTTTTCCTACATTGTGGTATCAGAGCAAGCGTTTGGTCTTTAACTGAGCAATAAAGAGATAAGAAACAACCAGGGAGTGAAATATAAGAAGAAAAAAAGAGAGGTTATGACAGCAAATGGTATATCCTCTTCTTCACAACCCCTCATACCCATCTTCAATGGTTAGAAGTATGAGTTTTGGAGCATCAAGATGAAGACCTTGTTTAGGTCTCAAGAATTGTGGGAATTGATCGAAGATGGGTTCACTGATGTAGCAGAGCCGGATGCAGAGGAAGAGAAGAGATTAAAAGAAATCAGAAAGAAGGATGCAAAAGCTTTGTTATTTATTCAACAAGTCGTTTATGAGACAATCTTCTCAAGAATTGCATCAATTACTACCTCAAGAGATGCTTGGTTGATTTTGAAAATTGAGTTTCAAGGTTCCTCAAAGGTAATTACTGTGAAACTACAATCTCTTCGTCGTGATTTTGAAACATTGTTCATGAAAACATGAATCTGTGCAAGACTTTTTATCAAGAGTTAGTGGAATTGTAAGTCAAATGAAATCATATGGTGAAGAGATAGGTGATAAAATTGTAGTTTCAAAAGTTTTAAGAAGTTTACCTCTAAGGTTTGATCATATGGTTGCAGCCATAGAGGAATCAAAAGACTTATCTAAGTTTTCATTTGATGAACTAATGGGCTATTTGCAATCTCATGAGTCAAAGATGAATAAGTCAATAGAGAGAACTGAAGAACAAGTTTTTCAAGTGAAGGAAGAACATCCAATTCAAAATGAGAAGTCGTTAGAACAAGGAGCACGAGGACGTGGCAGAGGCTCTTTTAGAGGCAGAGGACGTGGTAGAGGCAGAAGCCAATCTGGGTGGACAAATAGCCGCATAAGTGGAGTGCAGTGTTACAATTGTCATAGGTTTGGCCATATAGAAGTTAACTGTTGGTATAAAAATGATCAAGATTTGCAATCTCATGAGTCAAAGATGAATAAGTCAATAGAGAGAACTGAAGAACAAGT